CTCTCCAGATCTCTAATTTGCAACCTCTTTGATACGGCTCCATACCTAGCTAAACACCCATTCCCCCAAAGGAATAACCTTTCAAAGCACTGCAAGAAAAAGGGCTTAATAATTACCGATAGCATTGCTAATAACAATGCTGCCTTATATTCATGAAACAGCCATAATCAACATTTGACAAAAACTACCCTACCTATGTCCCTGTAGGGAAGCCAGTATTTTAGGGCAACCATGACTACTGCCAGCTCTCAATGATCTGTTCAGAAAACTGAAAGGTAATGAGAAAAATTCAAAACAGGAGATATGCCTAAAGTAATTTCCATCTGATTTTAAAATGTGTTCACTGCAATTTGAGTTGTTAGATTGAGAAGAGGGGGACATAGGGAGGAGGGGGAACAAATTTGCCTAACAGTTAAGCTTTTATGTATATTCAAATTAGCTATGTCTACTGAACACATGTCACCTGACAGCAGTGGGAGTGGGCAGTCTGGATTATATGTGCTGATCTTCCACAAAGACTGAGAACTGACTGGAAGCAGATGGTCCCCTTTCCCAGGATGGGGATGTAGCTCAGTGGTAGAGTGCTTGCCTAGCACATGCCAGGCCCTGGGTTGGATCCCCAGCACCAGTGGGATGTGGGGGGATGGTCCCCTTTCCTCTAAAATACTAGCAGGGATATAGGCTTATTAGTTACTTTCTTTAACCTCAGGGTTTTCTGAGGAGGTATATATTACACACATTTAAACCGCTCTTTATGTAAGAATAATGGTCAGGTATATTACTTAGGACAAGGGTAGGCAAACCTGTAAACTGCCACACAGTGAGTATTTTAGGCTTTGAGGGTAGTTTCTATCACAACTACTCAATGCTGCCACTGACAACATGAAAACAGCCACAGATCATACCTAAAGGAAGAGTGTGGTTGTGTTCTAATAAAACTTTATTTACAAAAACAGGCAGAGATATGTAGCATGTAGCCTACAGGCTGTAACAAGCTACTGGTTTTAAGAAGGTTCTGGTGGATAGAGAAGGTTCCAAGGCAACATTTGGCTTCAGCCAGTTAGCCCCAGAAAAGAAATAATTAGCAAAGTTTGATTAAACATTATCTTCATGGGGTTGCAGCTGTAGCTCAGGGGTACAGTGCTTGCCTAGCATGCACCTAGGCTCTTGTTTCCATCCCCAGGACTACATAAACAAAACAGAAACCCATTATCTTCATTCTAGGGCTATAGAGACAGAAATACCAAATAGAATAGGTAAGACTGAAACCCAGAAAAATCCACCTCTCAGCCCTGATCATCAGTGGTCCTGGAAGAACATAAAAGTCAGCAGCCTCTAACTGACCTAAGACACAAAAGAGAATTTAAGGGGCAAGTACAGTAAGAAATTTATTTTGGGTTTCTATTACCCACTAGTGGTTTCTTAGGTTTGACCCTCATTTTTCTTTTCACTTTCTTAGCCTTCCTCTCTCATAGCCCAGACTCATAAAAATGAAGTCATTCCTCGCTTTATGAAGATGTCTCTTGTGGATAAATGGTTGCAGAAGGTAAATTCCACTCTTCACGCCACAACCCTTTTTACAAGATCTAATATATCTTGTCAAGAACACAGTAGGGTGTGCAGTGTGGAGATAACTGCACAGCCTGAATATTACATCATTTTGGGATGAGCAACAGAAACAGTGACGACACTTGATTGTTCCTGAAACCTAGTCCATGCTCATATGCCTTTTTAAACAGTTGGGTTTCGGAGCCCTGTTTAGAAAGCTCATTTTAAAAGATGAGGGAATAAAAACACACAAGGAGCCCTGAAATTCTGAAACCTGCAGTACTGGTTTCAGACCAACCTAGGTTTGCTCTTTGAAGCCTGAAAAGGCAATGGGCTCTGGCCAACAGTGCTCTCACCTTGGCTCTGCCAAGGGAATAAGCAGCAGCAAACATTTCTTAATAGAACCTTCTGTGTGTCAGTCACTGTTCTAAGTACTTTATGAACTCATTTGATTCTTAGGATGTAGATATTATTACCCACAGATAAGGAAACTGAGGCACAGAAATTAACCAACTTTTTCTAGCCACAGCTAGTAAATAAATGGCAAAACCTGGATTCAAAACCCAGGCATTCTGATTCTCAACACCATTCTCTTAAAGAGTTTGGATAGCAAGGGATTTTCCTCCATCATGTATCTCTTACTGGCCTAGAGGGAACCACCCCTGCCACTTCCCAAAGCAATGGAATGAAAACAACCTTCAACACGGAGGCTCAAGTTAACATGCAGAAGATCTGATGTGCCAGGTACATTCCTCTAATGCCTGGCCACAAAGAAGTCCACAGGCTCAGGCTAGTCTTTCCCTCTACTTTTTTCTTTCTCCTACCTTACTGCAGATAATCCCACCACCCACTAGGTAAATGTCTTATTAGTACCTCTGGGACATTAGCAGGTGGAGAAACCATCAGCCCAATACATAACAAGAGATCTTTCGATTTGCCCTAAGGTACCTGACAAGCTATGCTGAGTTCTAGCTTCCTGTGTTTTATTAGTACCTTAGGACCCCTGATGTTACAAAAGGAGCAAGCCATGTAAAGAATTTAGGCATCCAAACCTACACTCTTCCCCTCTGCAGATCATCCACCACTGTTTTTCCTTTTAATGTTAGCTCTAATTGGAGTCACAAAATAACTGCTCTCAAAATATGATTGCTAATCAATTTCTACAGCACAGGCAAGCTATCTGTTGATTTCTATTAAAAGTGACTAAGGTTCTGGTGCTTGTTGTTCCACTAACTTCCCTTGGTTTTAAGGAAGTCCAAACAAAACCAACAGGTTTGTAGTCTTGTGGTTTGCTTTATAGCTCATGATAGGCATGAGTTTGTCTGGGCATTGCCTTCTTTTACACCACCAGATTCTACAATTATTTTTATTACTTGGTCACCATCTTGCTACCAGATTTGACCACGTTTCTATGTTCTGAGATGTGATGCTAACACAGTGAGGTCCAAATAGATTTGGGGATTTTCTACCTCACAGACTTGATTAATCTCCTTTTCTACCAAGTAAGGCATGGTAACAGCTATACTTTATTGATGGGAATGTGCAGCAACTAAGCTTTGTAATCACCAAAAGCTCAAGAGATTCTGGTTTAGAGCATGTCATTAACTGTTAAGATGGCAGGAACCATGACTTTCATACATTTGGTACAGACTCAGGCTTTGGAAGTGTGCAATGAATGATCTTTTCACATCTGGTGTGAATCAAATGCAAGCCTCACTTTCAACTTATTGCCAACCTCCTCATGCAAGTAGGTTCCTTTTCCGTTCCTAAGTGCCTGCATTTGTGGGTCCCGTCACAGCTTTGAGTGTGAAAGCAAAGTTAAACTTGCTCCTCCCTAGTTTCCCCACACCCACATCAAGCTGCTATTAAGAAACTGTTTCGGTGAAGTTCAGCAAGTGGGGTATTCGCCACAGCGTACTTGAATGTAGCCCTCACCCCACTGCCACGTTGGCCGGCAATGCTCAGGACAAAACCACCTGGTTGGGGGGATGGGCAAACTCCCCGGGGTTCTACACACATGCACACACTACACAGGATGGTTGGAATGAGACAGCCATATCAAGCAGGTCAATGATCTGGGAACAACTTCCAGACCACACTGAGAGGAATGTAGGGTGAACTGAGTGATTGCACTGCAGTAAAAGCCGTTAAACTAACTTATTCCAAAGGATTGAAACTAAATCAGCTCCCGGAGGTGGCAAAAAGGGAAGCGCACGTGAATGCGTGGAGAAAAGATTCAGAGCTGTAGAGAGGGATGCTGGGGCCAAACTCAAGCTGGAGAAGTAACACATGGCTCCACCGGGCTCTCCAGTACGCCCCTCCCCCTCCCCGTGCAGCCGTCCAGCGCCCACCGGCTCCTGGCTCCTAGCTCCCAGCGCAGCCCTCCGCACAGGGCGCCCCCATCACTCGTCACTCCTCACACCTCGCTCCCACTCCCTGCATCTTCCACTCACCCCCATACGACACCTCTGCCCACTTTTCGGTTACGCCCCCAAACCAGCCCCTATCTGCCAGGTCCCTCCCCTCACCTCTCGGGCCAGACTCCCTGCACACACGGTCACGGCGCTGCACCCCAGGTTCACAGCTCCTTGTTCTCTCTCCCTTCTCCCTCGCAGACTTTGTGTGCTCCCGTTTCTCTTCCCTACTCCTCTTCCACTTCCCCCTCACACTTCTCCCCGTGCCCCTCCCCCCACCGTGCGCCCCCTCCCCCAACGGCGCCTCCCCCGCACCCGCTCCAGGCCCAGCTCACCTGCGCGGCCACCCCCGTCCCGGCGCTGATGCGGCTGCTGCAGCTGGAAGGGGACTGTGGCCCTGAGCGGCTGCAGCCCGGCCCGGGGGGAGCCGGCGGGGACTGGTGGAGAGCAGCCCCGCCGGAGCCCCCCGGCCCCTCCGCGCCCAGGTCCCCAGGCACCTCCGCCTCTGCCGCCCGCTGCGGCCCCTGCCATAGCCCGCCCAGCCGCCCGCCTGCCTCGGCCCCAGAGCGAGCCCCGCACAGCCCCCCAACCCCCGCGGCCGCTGCTTATCTGCCCTACGGGGCGGAGACCGGCCCCCAGAGCTCGGAGCTCTAATTGGCGTTCAGAACCCCAGACCTCCCCTCTCAACCAATCCACAGCGGCCTCTTCCTTTGACAAGGCTGATTGGTCGCTGTGCCTAGCGATCCAAACCAAGACCCCACCCTCACCCCACCCTCTCCTGCTTTCCTCTGTCCGAGAGGCCGTGATTGGTCCATCAGGAAGAAGGCTGGTTCTCCAATGCCACCAATGAGAAGGCTCAGAAAGGGGGAGCGTCACACCCAGTCCCAGGTAGTATGCAAATACGGTGTCACGTGACGTCAAATGGTACTGGGGGCGGGGCCGGGTGTAGGGCGGAATGAATCACTAGTGAAATCTTTGTGGGGGCCAGAGTGTCAAACTTTAAGCAGTTGACTCCCCGTAACACAGAGAAAACAATGATTTGTAAAGGTATTACATTTAGTTTAATCTAGAAACCTCATAGAAGTTCAGTGCAGCTTGCAAAGTCCACACTAAGACTCTATAAATTAATGCAAAGTTTGCATACCGTTTGCCTGCCATTTGCATTGAATTCGTGCACTTAATAGCTACCTTGCCTCGAGTGACAAACACATCATTTGTCTTTCTCCATGTTTCCAAGTTCCTACTTGGGGTTTATCCAACCTTAAAAAAAAAAAACAAAAAAAAAAACAAAACAGCTGTTAGCCTGCAAATTAAAATGGGACTCCAAAAGGGAGCTGGGAATTTCCCTTCTGTCGTACATTCTAAGTCTACCTCAGCAGAGTGGAAGGAGCAAAGTGACTGAGAAATGTGCTCAAGTTTGCACAATAACTCCACTTTTCCCAGTTCAATGTTCTCTAACCTACAAGTCAAAATGAGATTGGATGGTCTCCAAAGAGAATGCATGCGGTTATGAAAAGCACAGGCTATAATATATATGTGAAAGTATTTGGTAAAGAAAACAGCATTTAAGATACTATTAAAAATCATTACTCTTAAAAAGAAAAAATAATACACACACACATATTTATACATATATTACTCTTGGTATTTGTTAACCATTTTGTTCTATATATGGAAGAAGCAAAAGTCAGTCAACCTGGGTTGTCTGTGATAAGGGACCATTCAAATAATTGGATAATTCCCTCTAGATTTATATTTAGCTATGAATTCTATTTTTGATCTTACTTCAGATTTATCTTTCTATTTCTGTTTTTGCCTAGTTTAATGTTAAAAGGAAGGTATTCCCTGAAGCCACATGAACTAATCAGAGAAAAGGAGGTAAACTGGTAGTATGCTGTGAGAAAGGAGAGGTCATTTTGGGATTAAATACTGAAAGCAGATAATACTCAAAGTGGAAATTCAAGAGTTGGTTGAATATTAAAATCAGCCTACATACACAGAACAAATCAAGCAATAAAACATTCTGTAGAAAGGCTTTCTTTGCAAAGTCAGTAATCTCATGGGTTTGAAGGATTTGCTTCAAGATCTGACATACAAATTCATTTTTCAGTGACTGAAGAAATTCTGTACTTCTATAAAGAGGACAGACTTATCAAAGATTTTATGTACAAAAACTGCTGAACTTACAAGAACTCTGTCTTCATAAACTTAGCTCAGTTTTAAAAATAGCCTGCATTCATATTGTTTCTCAATAATCTAGTTCAAAGTTTTTATACACTTAAAAAATCCTCATGATGATCTGGAAGAGAAAAAAAATTCTTACTGTAGTGTAAGTAGGGAAACAGGTCCTTTTGATTCCTATCTCAAATCTCTAGTATCACTCACTGGTCTTATTGAACCACCCTGCCTCACATCTTCATTAATAAAATCAGTAATGATAGTAACTAAGATTCACTGAATTCCTTTCTCCATACTAGGTACATCTTAAGGACTGTCTATACATTATCTAATTTAATAATGCCAGACCTATAAGATGGGTTATTAGTTCCTCTTCACTGAGACTTCAGAGAGAAGTAGCATGCCCAAGGCTACCTAGGCAGCCTAACTCTAGAACTGAGTTCCTAATCTCTATGCTTGTAAAACTTTCTCATGAAACAGAAGGATTACTATTTATATTATATAAACAGCCTCCAAAGATGCAAATCTGGCTATGTTAAAATTAACATTTGTCTAGTATTTTACAGTTTTCATGTACAGCATCTCATTGAATCCTCACAATAAATGTGTAAAGTAGAAAAATGTAAATATTATAAATATTCTTGTCTTCATTCTATAGATTAAATCACAGAGGTTAGATGACTTACCCAAGATTGTCCACTTAGTGGTAGATTTAGGACTTACTGTCTAGGTCTTTTTACTCCAGATTCAAGTTCTTTCCCAGTAAACACTCAATTTCTAGACATTAGAACTTCTGAAAACAAAAGGGTGGATTTGATGGTCTATTGAAATCTGTTCTTACTTGACAGCTTTTACCATTTTAGGATCTCTCAACTTGTAGAATTTTAGATGATCTTAGGAGATGAAGAGTGCTTTTTATTGGATGAGCCTTATGATGTGTGTCAGAGGGGAAAGCCCTGGGATGAGGAATCTTGAAATATTTTGGGCAGGTGGTTTCCTTTCTCTGTGCCAGAATCAATCCTTCTCCATCAATCTCATAGACTTGTTCTACAGATAAAATGACACGTTATTGTACAGATGTATTCTTGCTTTGGAGAGAGGAGAAATATGGTTGGTACTGAGGATATAGGGGTTAAACTTTATTCCAAAGCCTCTGTACCAGGAGTTGAGGACCTGGACAGTGGACAAGAGCCATTGGTGGTGGCACAGCTGAAAAATTGAATCTTCTGAGTCCAGAAAGTCATGGTCTTTCCTGATAAGTTGTTGGCAAAAGACATTGAAGTTGACCCTAGCTGCAACAGTTGAAGGCAGGCATGCAGAGAACTCTGTATCTCTTCACTAGGTATCATGCCCAACCAGATGTCTCTTGTTCCCTTCTTTATTCCTGATAGCTTCTGGTGTGGGCATGATGGAAGGAGAAGGATAAGGACCTCATCTAAAGATCAGCTTCCATTCTCCTTTAATGAAAGAAGGCATAGCCATGACTTTCAGGAAACTGCGTGCGGCTGAGGGGAGATGTCATACGTTACAAAGCATCTTCTTGCTTTCAAGAAAATCTTTCTTACCATCCCCACTATCATTCTTATCAACATGATTGTCATTTTTTAATTCCCTTATGACAAATTTACTGAAATGACCACTATGTGCCAGACATTGAGCTAAGCACTAAGGAATGATAATAATGTTCCAGACATGCTCCTCAACTTGAAGTTAACAGCCCGGTAGGTCTAGAAGCTTGTATGTGGAAGTGGAACTGGGCTAGATGCTATCCAATTAAGCGATGTGACCTGGTTTCTGCTTTCAGAGACTTTGGGTCAGAGGAAGGCCCTCAAAAACATCAAAAGTGGAGGATTTCATACACCAAATATATCAATGTTTTTTTTTATCTACAGAACCCTTATTTGATTTATGGGGTTCCAATAGCAAATGTGCTAGACCCTTGGTCCCTGTCTGCTCCTGGGATGTCTATAACCATCACAAATAAACGAGGACTCAAGGAATGATTTTCCCTATAAGTGTGGGTCAGAAGTACAGCCACTCCCCCAGCAGTCCCTATAAGGCTTGGTGCCTTAAAAATTGCAGGACCCGGGCTGGGGCTATAACTCAGTGGCTGACCTGCTCACCTCACTGGGTTCGATCCTCAGCACCACATACAAAAATAAATAAATAAGACAAAGATTGTGTCCGTCTACAAATAAAAAAAAATTCTTTTTTTAACTTGCAGGACCCTGAGGGACTAACAAGGTCAAAAGTCTCAGGGAATTGAGGTAGTTCAGTCAGCAGGAAGGCCTTCTTCTCCTTCTGGCCACTGAATCCAGAAAGGCCAGGGTTGTCATAGCTGAGAGAAGTTTTCAGTTCTGAAGGCTCTCTAGCCCTTACACTGGGGCACCTTGAATCTGCCCTGTGCATCTTTTATGCCACAATAACCCACAAGAATGAAAGCTCTAATTTTTTACCCTTTGAAATATGACAACCAGAAGCAGTTGCTCAGAGGAGACTTGAGAAATTTTGATATTCCTTGGTCCCTGGGGGGACTCTTTCTGAACTTCCTGGTAAATTTCTACATGCTTACGTCTTTAGCCCCCTAGTACCAAAATAATCAAACAGAAATTAAGATGACGCAGACACAGTGTCTCTTTCTGACCTACCTCCTTTACTCAGCCTCTGTCTGAAATGTCAGGCCCAGCTCCTCAGGGAACAAAATCCTGAGGAAATGGGGTCAGAACTGAAGGAGCAGAGCAGCCAGAGAGGGATTGGGAAGGAGGGCTGAGGGAACGAATGAGGTCACGGGAACAGAGTAGGGAGGGGTCCTATCCTTCAGCACTTTTTCCCATTCTAGTAGCCTCCCTCTTCGGGTACCCCTTCACTTTTACTCCCAGGGTGACCAGATGGCCTGAATTTTGACCTTCCATGCTTTCTGTGACACATTTTGTCCCTTGCTGTAGCCCACAACATTTTTTTTCTTTAGTTCTTTCATTAGTTCTTCATTTGGATTGGAGGAGATTCACTCCTTAACTCTCCTTTTGCTCTCAGTAAGAATCTAACTTTCTTATTAAACTGCAGCCTTTTAAAACTGAAGACTCCTCATTCTTTTTTAAAAATATTTTTTAAAAAAATTATTTTAGTTGTTGATGGATCTTTAATTTATTCATATGCAGAGCTGAGACTCAAACCCAGTGCCTCGCACACTTGAGGTAAGCGCTCTACCACTGAGCCCCTCATTCGTAACAGTAAATCATAGGATGGATGGAAATTTTCAAATGGGCAAAAAGTAAATGTGGGGATCCAATACACTGAAATTTTAGAATATTGGGCCTAGTGGCACTCCATGAAAAATACAAAGTAGATTTAAAAAAAAATTGGTAGAGACTATATCTGATTCAGCCTCTCCCATTCAGTTGAGATGCTGAGACATGGGAAGGACTTTTGGGTCATTTAGCAAGTCAGAGGCAGGATAAGGGACCAGAACTCCTGCATTCCATTCAGTGTTGCTTCAAAACATAAATAACTTCTAAAAGAATTTAAATGGAATACTATTATCAATAAGCTGGATAGATTACTGAAACATGCTACAACATGGAGGGAACTTGAAAACATTATGCTAAGTAAAAGAAGCCATTCACAAAAGACCACATATTGTACCATTCTGTATATAGACAATGTCCAGAAAAGGCATATTTACAGAGACAGAAAGCAGATCAGTGATTGTCTAGGGTTGGGGATGGAAACAGGAATTACCTGCAAATAGACCAAATGGAAATTTCTGGGGTGGTGAAATGGTCTTAATTTGCAAAATGGTGAATTGTGAACAATTCTGTTAATTTCAAAACAAACAAAAATAGAATCACATAAGTATAATGTGTGAATTTTATGATATGTGAGTTATACTTCCACCAAACTGTTTTTAAAAAAGGATTTATATAAACTTGTGGATGAAAAGCTGTGTGCAGTGGGGCACACCTATAACCCCAGCTACTTGGGAGGCTAAGGCAGGAGGATTTCAAGTTTGAGGCCAGTCTGGGCAATACAGCAAAACCCTGTCTCAAAAAAAAAAAAAAATAGGGCTAGAGATGTGGCTCAGTGGTTAAGTACCCTTGAGTTCAATCCCTGGTACCAAAAAAAAAAAAAAAAAAAAAAAGAGAATAGTCCTTTGCTAAGTTTTTCCAGAACAGAGAGACTTTCCTAGACATGACACTTGGAGTCAGAACAGAACCAGCACGCCACCAGAGTCGGTCACCATGTTGTCAGACACAATGTTTAATGCTTACAGAAGTTCTCTCTTTCATCCTAATCATAGGTAGATACTATGATTATCTGCATTGTACTGAAGGAAACTGAAACACAGAAGTATTAAGTAACTTGCCATAATATAGGAATAAGTAGCAGTTTGGAAATTAGGCCCCAGAAAGCCAGAAGCTTCAGTCATTATGCTACATTCCCCCAAAATAAAGTTGTAATATTTTTTGTTGTTGTTTAGTTTGTTGATTTGTTATCTTTTAACTTTCGTTTTCTTTTTTTTTTCTTTT